CCCCCCCCCCCCAATAAAAACGAAACAAACAAACGGTACCATGCCTCGCGCGTCGCTTGATCTCATGCAACCTCTCTCGGCTACGTTCGGATGCCCACGAGATTTGGAAACTCGGGCTGCACGATAGCGCAGCCCTGTCGCTTTCCTTGTGTTGTTTCTTTTTCTTTTTCTGCCTCGTGCTCTTCGTCATGTTTTCCTGTGTAGTGAGATATCCCAGGCATCATGCGGATCATTTCGCGGGAACCTCAAAGATACAGCGGGAAGCAAGAAACGTCCATGAAACCACCATACAGCGCGGAGCCCATGGCACTCAAGAAGGGCAAGGCAAACGTCGCTTAGCGCTTCATAGTGCACCACAGCTAACTATCGGTCCTGCACGCCACCGCCAAGAGACAGACTAGGGTCTCTCTGAGGTAGCGCTCGCCGTCGTGCCTCTTGGTGGAGGAACTCTTTGAGTCCTGCGGTTTGGGGAGTTTCTAGGCGGGCGGCGCGTCACGAAGGCCCACGGCTGAGCTGTGCCGTCCCGTTTCGCGGTCAAATCGCGTGCAGGGTGCGTATCGCACAGTTCTGTGTTGGTAATATAAGCGTAACGCACGACATCGGACGACCCGACGGGTTGTACTGTTGTATCCCGAAGCAGATATCGCACGACTTCGAATTGGGTGTTTTCTGAATGGTAGTGCGTACGATTGGGAGGCTCAACCGTCCGAGACTGCTACTGTCCAACAGTTTCGTCCCGTCTGGTAGTATTCGGAGGAGGATATTGTGTTTAGTAGCAGAGACACGCTAGGACACCGCAGAGGCTTTGTGCCATGCGGAACGTGTGGTACGGGGGATATCTCCCTCCGTAGGCCACAGAAATATTAATCAAGGCAATTCGAAAGAAAACAAAAAATGAAAGTTTGTTGTCGAAGACCGAATAAACTGTAGTTTATTGTGCACGAAAGAAGTANCCGACGGGTTGTACTGTTGTATCCCGAAGCAGATATCGCACGACTTCGAATTGGGTGTTTTCTGAATGGTAGTGCGTACGATTGGGAGGCTCAACCGTCCGAGACTGCTACTGTCCAACAGTTTCGTCCCGTCTGGTAGTATTCGGAGGAGGATATTGTGTTTAGTAGCAGAGACACGCTAGGACACCGCAGAGGCTTTGTGCCATGCGGAACGTGTGGTACGGGGGATATCTCCCTCCGTAGGCCACAGAAATATTAATCAAGGCAATTCGAAAGAAAACAAAAAATGAAAGTTTGTTGTCGAAGACCGAATAAACTGTAGTTTATTGTGCACGAAAGAAGTAGGAACATCTCCCAGATCTACGTTTGTATTTGGGTTCTTGTTGTGCCGCCCTGGAGGCGTGTTGGTTGGGTTGTCTTGGTTTGGTTTTCTGAGGTCTTCTGAAGAAAAAGGTCTCACGGAGTTCTCATTCTTCTGCCTCGCTACTCCTGCAGCAAGAGTTTGACAGACGCGTGTCTACTGGACCAAGGGCCACGTGTTGAGGAATGCACAGTGTGTAACACGCAGCCGCGTCGGAGGGTCACGCGGGAAGGAGGGCAGCAGCTAGCTACATCGAAGTTAGGACCTAGCTAGCAGAAACTGGTAGCTTTTCTCCCGCCCACCCACCCCTTGTCTTCCGAAGGTGGGGGATAGGAGATGTTACGAGTGAGGACTCACTTAGGAGAGGCCTCTAAATATTTCTGTGACTCGGAGTTGGTGCAACCGTTTGCCACGTAGAAGTATGGCGTAGCGTTGTGGCGTTTTCGGTTGCTACATATACGAAATATGTAAAAACACTATCGTCGGTCAGAGACATCGCGCGCACCGGATGCTCATGGCAGCATTGAGACGGCCAATATAAGGTGAAACCCGTCGTAAAGCGGTGCGTATCTTGGTCATGGTTCCTTCATCGAGGTGGCCGTAGACGTAGTTGGGGTCGTGTAGAAGCCAATGAACGTTGGAATGCGAGAACTTTCCCTCACTGAATGGTAGGCCCTGCAATTTTCGTCCGTGGTTAGTACAACGGGTTGAGTTGTTGAGATAATGTTCACGGTTCAAGAATATGTTTTGAATTGGAATAAACGTAGTAAAAAAACAAAATATTGGTGTCAAACGTTTGTACGGTATGGTATGTCTACTGTGTAGATTAGCCGTCGACGGTGTTGACTATTCGAGATAATGTTACGGTTAAATAGCCAAGCAACGGCGTTTCTCGCCAGAGGAACGACGTATGATCAGAGCCGGGATACAGCAACTGGTTGGCCGAGGAGTGATACGACGTTCCATGTCCCCGTGGGCAGCCCAATGCCTGTGTGTCAAAAAAAAAGACGGCACCCTACGGCAGTGAATCGACTGGCGTGAACTCAACAAGCTCTTGGTGTCGGATAGCGGTGGCCTTGGTGACATGCATGCGATATTCGATCGGTTGAAAGGCAAAAAGTGTTTCACGCAGCTAGATTTCGCCTCCGGTTTCCACCAGATGGAAATCGCCGAGAAAGGCCGTTACAAAACGGCCTTTCGAGACGCTGATGGGATGCTTTGGGAGTCCGCTCGCGCAGGGTTTGGACTGACGGTACTGCCTGCAGCTTTCACTCGTAGGGTACAGTCGGCGTTGGGGCACCTGCCGGGTGTGTTTAGCTGGCTTGACATCCTCATTGCTAGTGACACATGGGAAGAACATGTGCGACGCTGACGCTCGTCCTCACCCGTCTCTTAGCTGCTGGCCTGTCGGTGAACTTTGCTAAATGCATCTTTGGTGCCGCGTCCCAGGAGTTCCTTGGCATGATCATCGACGACACGGGTTTGTAACCCGCCCCGTCTAAGCTAGCCGCGACTGCTCGCATGCCTCGCCCGCACAGGGTAGAGGAATTGGGCACGTTTTTGGGTTTGACCGGCTACCTCCGACAGTTTGTACCCAACTACAGTCTGACGGCAGCACCGCTCACCAACATCTTGCGCAATAAGGCCTTTGCCTCGAAACGTGCCCGCAAGCTCCCCACCCCTTGAACCATTGCAGAGGAAGACGCTTTCCAATCATTGCGAGGGACGTTGGCTTCCCAAACGGTGCTCGCCTTTCCGGACCTCGAGGGACGCTTTGAGCTCCACACCGACGCCAGCTCGCTAGGCGTAGGGGTGTCTCTCATGCAGACGATCGAAGGCGTGACGAGAGCGATAGCGTTTGCGACCCACAGGTTTTCACGGACAGACCCAAGACGGGGCCCTACCGAGAGGGAGTGCATGGGTGTGTCGTGGTCAGTAGACTACTTTCGTCCTTACCTCGCTGGTAGACAGTTCAAGCTGGTGACTGATTGCTCTGCCCTGACGTGGTTGTTTCGATTTCGAGGCTCTGCCCAAAGTTGCACAGGTGGGCATTACGGCTCATACAGTACGACATGGTGTTGGAATGGAAGGCGGGCGTGGAGCACGTGGTGCCCGACGCGCTCTCGTGGCTCCCGGTTGCAGGGCCTGCCGAGGTGGACGTCGATGACGCTTCTCGGGACGATTTGTCTTCCGCGGTAGAGGGCGCGTCCGTCGAGGTTCTAGGCTCAGCGTTGGACGGTGTGAGGTTGGCCGATCTAGACCCTGCACAGGCAGATCAGACAGAGGATGCGGTAGCACACGTTCCTCCCCCACATCTGATCCAAGGGGCCGTTTACTCTAACCTTTCCGCCCTTCGAGTGTTGCCCTTTGCGATGTGCGCGGCGTTGGATGCTGAGCCCAGGGGACTCCGCTGCAGCGGCAAGACTCGCACGCCATCCGTACGCCTGCGGCCCATCGGAGACGTGCAGCTGCCACCGGTAGGAGAGACGGGGCTTCTACAGGACGAGCAAGTGGCTGGCCCCACACCTGTCCAAGCCGTGCCGCCCACACCTCCGCTTCCGGCGCTACCACCGTCGCCCATTCATCATAGCCACGATGACATCGGTGAAGTGCTCGCGGCACGGGGGGAGGTACCGAGGTCGTCGTCAGGACCAAACGTTCGTGGGACGTCAGCCATCGACCGGGCGGCACAGGTTCTCACCAAGCCATCCATCCTCGCACAACGCCAACGGGACGACACCCTTTTGGGTCAGGTTCGCAAGAGTTTGAGTGAGAAAACGAACACGGGCCAGGGGGGAAGTGTGGATAAGCGGTGTGATTCAGGCGCGGACGATATGATCCGGTACGATGATGGCAAAGGTAGGAAACTGCCGGCTATTCCCGACTCCATGGTAGCAGATATCATTGTCCTGGTACACACGATGCATGGTCATGCAGGGATTGGAGCGACCTTGTCACTTCTGCGAGTTCATTTCCATTGGCCAACGATGACACGGGACACCCGACAGTACGTATCATCATGCAGCTGTCGTAGGCGCAAGAGACCGAAGAGCAGACGCGTAGCCATCATGCCAGGAAGACCGCTAGAGCCATAGGACGAACTGCAGATGGACATCGTCAAAATCGACCTGCCTTCGCTCACTGGAAACAACTACATCCTGCTCGTGGTCGACCGCGCCTCTAAGCTCCCTTTTGGCTTCCCGTTAGAGACCAAGCAGGCTGTGGGTGTAGCTCGAGTGCTAGTGGAGCAATGTCTGACTTTCGGTGTCCCAAATACCATTCGCTGTGATGGGGGCTCAGAGTTCGGAGCAGAGGTTGTTACGCATCTGTGCAGGTGGTTGCGTACAGACATCGTGTTCGGTGCTGCGGATCACCCACGAGGCCAAGGTTCAGTCGAGAGGCTGGGGGGATGGCTGCAAGAACTACCCGCAAAGCTGTGTAGGTCATGGCCGGACAGGTGGGACGGGTATGTGTCCCCGTCGATTTGGATCAAGCGTACGCTGCCTGACACCGCGCTCCCCTCTCACATGATTCCCTTCAAGCGCTTGTTTGACCGCAAGCCCCGCACGACGTTGGACTCGTTAGTGCCCCTCACAGACGAGACAGGTACGGAGGGAGGGCTAGACAACTTCGTGAAGCGACGCAAGCAGAACCTCCGCGAAGTTCGCATCGCGCTAGAGAGGCGGCACGAGTTGCGAGTAGCGGCGCGTGCCAAAGCCAACGCGACGATCGAGAGGTCGTCCGCCGGAGTGGCGGTGGGGAGAAACAGCTTGGTGCTGGTCCGAGAGACGGAGAGCAGAAGGTATCGTGACCGCCGAGGAAGGGAGCTCCAGCACGACTTGTACACCGGGCCCTCGAAGGTGACGGACGTCATCCGACCGGGCCTCATTGTAGAAGTCAGCTTACACGGTAGAAGGAAACGCACCCGAAGGGTGTCCACTGCCGACGTGAAGCCTTTCCACCTCAGCCCCCCCTCGCTCAGACTTTCCATCTCCGACGAATTTGCAGCGTACGCGTGGGGAGCCGACGTCAAACTCCCCTCTGGAGCCGCTGAGTTATTGGAGTTTGTCTCTATTGCCGACTGTCGTAGAAGCCGATCGAGGACTCAAGTGGTTTGGGAGTATAGAGGGAAGTTGGGCAGTGGAGCAGTGTCAGACTGGTTGTCAGAGGATGTCATGCTGCGGAGTTTCACCCCCCTTCAGCTTGATGGTTTCGTCGCTCTTTGGCACTTGTACCACCCGCAGCAAGCGAACGATCTTCCGCCCGTCTCAGTCAAGCCCCGTGCCCCGCTGTCGCGTGCTGAAGCCTTGAAGCTGTTTCCGATAGATTTTACCCTCCGGAAGGAACTGGACGGAGGAGTGAACCTACAAGGCCAGGTGTTTGACTTCCTCCAACCGTACTGGCGCGTGGGCTACAGTGACCAGAACTGGGAGGAGCTCGCCCGTCGAGAGCTTGAACGGCTTTCATGATAACGGCTGCTTTATGGCGTTGTACAAATCCTAGGTGTCGCTGTGCGTACATGCTGTAGGAACAGGGCTGCCGTCTGCAGGTGGCTTACTACCACCCGTACACGAATCAGCAACGCCCGGATGTATTGGCTGAGTGTTTGTTTATTTCATGGTCGTTTTCTAGGTAGCCTTAGACACACGTACATTACTTGGGTATCGTATGGGTCGACAGATGGTCGCGGCCGTTTGCCTGTAGTTTTACCACGCCTGCACAAGAGTCGGTACGCTTCCAACCTTAGTTAAAATTGATAGGGTGTCGCTGTGTAGTCTCTGGGCATTGTGTGTTTCGTACAATTGGTGACATGTCCATTGTGCGTTAAGCCGTTGTTGTCTTGGACGATTATTCAGCATAGGGATCAGTGTCTTCCCTTAGGTTGAGCACTTTGCTCTGCTCCGCCTGGGTGTTGATATTCGAGTGGTCCAGTTTCGTTTAGGGTTGGTACTCATGAAATTGGTTGTGATATAGTATTAGATGTTCCGAGTTGTAGGCTCAGCTTGCTGATTACCGTAGAATATGGAGTACCGTACCGTACCTTTTTTTGCGGGAATGCGGCATCGTTCTGCTGTGCGACTGGGTTTGTTCGCCGTGCGACTTGGTGTTGTAGGTGCTTGCGAAGTTACCCTTGCGGGAGTGGGACACCGTTTTGCGTGATTTGGTGTTATAGGTTCTTTGCGCAATGGGATTTCCCCTGGATGGCCAGGTCTTTCCCGCGCTGTAGATGAGAGTCGGGCTAGCCACTACACTGAATTCACCAAGCGGGTGACGTTTTTGGTAAGAGTATTTTGCGTCCGAGTGTCACTTGGTATTTTCGGTCTCTAGCCTGAATTCTTTGGCCCTCGGGATGGGGGCGAAGGATTTCTCCCGGACCCCGGGTTTTTCCTTCGCACAAGTCGATGTCGGACTTGTTCTAGCGCAGTGAGAATGTCGAGAGCGGTTTTTATGTAGGTTTTTTGGCTGTCAACTCTCGATGTTTTCGGTTGAACTTTCGGTCCAACTTATTGGCATCGCATGGTATTTTCAAGAGGAAGTGCGCCACTTTACTACGGTGTCCGCAATTCCCGCTACCGTTTAGCATGTGACAGGTGACAAAAAGCTGGTCATGCTAGGGGGGGTGTTACGGTTAAATAGTTTACGGGGAGTTGCACCCTTCGGGATTAGCGTTGTTCCCCTAGGGTGGTGTTGACAATTCTGTACATTTGCGGAACCCCATGTCTCAAGCTTCGTGCAGCCCCACGAAGCTCACTCTCTTGTTTGGCATTCCAGTGCTCAGCAAAAATCAAAAGTGCAAACCGTATCCACGACCTGAGACCTTCTCCACGCTCCACAAGCCTCCTTCTAGACTTTCTCTACCGCTGTTCAAGAGCGCATCTTCGAACTCTGTACTGATCGAGAGGCTGCTAACATCAGGTCGGTAGCTTAAAAAATTTTGGTCATCATTCCTGAAAGCGTGACTTCCTTCCCGTACACAAAACCATGTGCTTGTGGCCACGAACTGCCACAAACACATTACTAGCGAGATCCACCAAGTCACGGGATCCAGACCAAATCAGAGCCTCTCTTTCCGTCATATTAATGCAAATATATGACAAATATTTTTTGCGGTTTTATACAAAAATTCGGACTGACTGGGGCTCCAAAATTTTCGAAGCAGATTTTGAATTAAGAAAGTCCCCTGGAAACTTCCTGTGGGCATTCATATGATTGGCTGAGGGGCTGCAGTTCTCCTCTCCCACCCAACGAACTTCCCCTGACCGCAGGTGGTGCTGCTTTTTTGTGGTGCGCTGCGTGACAGCTGCACCCTGCTGACACCGCTCTCTCTAACTGCTCTACTGCTGTTGAGTGTGCGTGCATGCATTGCGTGTGCGTGCCTTCTGTGCCGCCCCCCTCAACCCCACCACACGAAATCGCACCAGGACGTAGAGAGGGAGGGAGGGAGTGATTGTTGTACTGGCCGGCAGCCTCTGCACGAATTTCAGTGTCGCATTTCAAGCGTTCGGGCGAGACGAGGTTGTTATTGGGACGGGGGCACATCAAGTCAAACTCTCTCTCCATGCTAGCAGAGAACCAGCAGAGAATAATCTTGTGCGGGCAGGACGCGCCCGTCCACACCAGGAAGCCAAGTGCGCGCTGTTTCTCCTGTCTGTGTGCTCCTCTTTGCCGGCGGTGCTTCCACCACCTCTACGTCATCGGTTGTCGCTGTCGCCGCGGTTCCGGCGCTCGCTCTCCTCTTCCCCCTTGCCTCAATCAACCTGTGTGTGACGGGCGGGTGTTGCTGACCTAAAGCCGCGCAAACAAGCCCAACTTGGCTTTCTGACCGTGCAGCCTCCCTCTTGTTGGTGCCGCGCCAACTCCAGGGCCTTTTCGCTGGGCGCCGGCCTTGTCTTTGGCCGCGCGGACTGCTGTGTGTGCGTGGGTGTGGTGCCTGATGTGTTGATTCCAAGAATGCTGCTAGTCTATATCGGAAAATCGTCAATAAAATTCCACAAAAAAACGAGCCTCCCTCCGCTGATATATCTGATTGTTTTTTCCTTAGCTTGGGTTCTGGCGAGACTGTCAGGAACGATCCTCGAACGATGGCTTAAATCAAAATATATTCCCTTATTTCGGAAAAAGAAATGAGTCCGAAAGAGTCTAATAAAATTGTAAACTAAAACCTCACCTCCCTTGCTTGGACGAACAAGATATGATCGCCGAACATTCTCTTCAGTTCTCTATCTTCGACATTCATCGACGCGAAGAAGGTGGAACGGCAATCAATCATACGCTCGGGATTCTTTGCGGAATATTTGTGCGGGTGGGTCAGCGGATGGGTAGATAGAGTTCTTCGAGAATAGGTAGACAGACGCCGAACGAAGACAGGCGAACAAGCTCGACCTCGAACCAGTCAACACCAATGATATGGGGATGGAGTGTAGACGCATCGTAGAGCGCGTTTTCGTTTGAAATTAGTTGGCGTCTTCTTTGAGAGTAGATATGACAGATTTGCGTAGAATAGGGTAAGATGTTATCATGAACGGAGAAGAAAGGGCTTTTCCAACACGGAGATGTAGCATGGATCAAAGCATTTGTTTGTTGGATTTCAGCTTTTACAAGAGGCAACGCAGTAGTATTTTAGCAAGCTTACTAACGCATATAGGATACCATGAGGATTGTCATTGGTTTTATTTCAAGTTGAAGAGGAGATATTTTTACGATGTAGTAAGTGACAGTAGAAATAAGTCCTACATAATAATATGTTGTTGTACTTCGTATTGATTAAATATTCATGTACAATTAAGACATTAAGTTAAAGTTTTCTGAGATACATCTGCAATTGTCGGAAGGCAAAAAAAAAAAAAAAGGTAGCAGTGGTGGAAGGTGTGGCAAAAAAGTACTTTCCATAAAGGGGGCTCTTTGGTGTCGTTCCAAATCTTGCCAAGATTTTGAGGCAAGATTTGGACTCCATAACAAGTGTACATTCGAGATATTTCTTGAATCGACCCCCCCCCTCCCACCAAAAATCAAGATAAGATTGAGATTCCGCCGCCATAAACAGTGGTCTTTAGCTGCATATTTCTTTGGATTCCTTTGCAAACAGCGTAGCTCCGCAGTGTTTGCACGGACGGGTCAGTACGCGCCACTGGTATATATAGCCATTTCTGCACGCGCGTCCGCAAGTGCATGACGTCCGTAGTTGATGATAGTGTCAATTCGCGACATGCCTCCCCGCGAACGCATCATGTTGTGTAGTCTCCTTTCCGTTGATGATGACCTCTGAGAACGCAATGTGTCGTCCAGGCGGTACCTCTTTGCCGCAAAAATGTCAGCTCTACGTTTCTTTTGATAGGTCCGACGGTTCCTCTCACCGGATGGTTTCTCATGACTGTCTTTCATCTGTGTGTCCGTGCTTATGGTACCATCTTTGTTGGGTGGTCGTGCGCGTTTGCTCGCTTTCTTGTGCAAGTGACCTGCGCGTCTCCTCGCATTCCGAGCATTATAGGCACGTCATCTGTCCTGCTTGAGTACTCGTTCTCGTTCAACGTCTGTCTCTCGTCTTACATCCGTCCTCGATGTAGGCGCGTAATCACACATCGCTCCATGGGGCAAGAGTTGTTTGCGGCCTACGCCACTTATTTATCGGATGAGACTGTTTTGGTGATGCACGAACTTCACGACAGGTAAACGACCGTCCTTCACACGGACGAAGAGGGAGTGCCCCACGCGGCAGGTCCCACACAGCAAGGAGGGGCTCCGTGAATCATCGAGGTGCCCCCTACCAAACGGCAATCTTACCAGTCTGCGTGACACCAAATCATACAGCACATGTATCCGAAACCAATGTTCGCAGACCCACGAACACCCTCCCTGGTTCTTGAAGCAAGTGACTAACCATCAACGGGGCAAGAACGCCCCCAGATACATCAAAAATAATAGCATGGAAATATATGGAGGGGAAAACCGGCGTCCGGGCAAAACCCCTCCAAAAGACCCCGACCACCACGAAAACCGTCGCTATCACGGCGAGTCACAACGGCCGCACTCATTAGAAAGGCCAAGGCGAAGACAAGAACGCTAGGAACTACGTTTCCCCGGGCGATGGTCTCCCAACGCCCCCTACTCCTGCCATTGGTGCACAGACCGCGACAGTTATGCGTCTTTCCCCACATGGTAAACATGACCTCTCCCAATTGCTAAAAACTGCTACAGCTGCTCCGGCAAATTCATCCACTTGCGCCGGTGGTACTGCAGACTGGCCCTGCTAAGGTCCTTTTCAGGAGGTCCGCGTGTTGCTCCGTTGTCGGAACAAACTTGACCGAAACATCCCCCGACCTAAACAATCCGCGGATGAAATGTAACCTCATGTCGATGTGTTTCGTGCGACCTGAGCTGTGGGGGTTCTGCACCAACGCCAAAGCCCCCTGGTTGTCCTCAAGGACCTGGATGCTGCTACTACTGGTCTCTGGGGCAACAAACGAAAGCACAGCACGTACAAACAACGCCTCCTTGACGCCCTCCCCGGCAGCAATGTATTCGGCTTCCGTCGAAGACAAAGACACGATGCTCTGTGCCTTGCTACCATGGCTGACTACGGTACCTCCAACCATCCAACCCTGACACCGAACGCTTGTCCTCCGTGTCGGCGTAGCTAGCGTCTACGTTCACGGCCAGTCCCAACCCCGATCCCCGTTGATAGGTGATGCCGAGGTCCCTCGTCTCCTTCAAGTAGCCGAGGATTTTCTGGATGGCATCCCAGTGCCTCTTCGCCGGGGCGTGGGCGTGGCGCGCTACCGCACGCACGGCGAACGAGAAGTCTG